CAGGCAGGCCTGGAAAGAAGCTTGTAGAGTGGAATCTGGTGTTATTCTGGCTCCTTCAGGTTATTCTTTCATGATCACTTCAACTATTTTCTCAGGTCCATGCAAGCCAGGAATTGTGTTTCAGGTAAGAATACTTATATCCACGTCGTTTCTGTTTGTTTTAGTTGGACCTGGCTTACTGAGAATTGTAACGTGAATAGGTGGATGGGCGCCTAATGCCGCCGGATGGACCGGATTCCTGGCCAGAGAAGGATAGCACGCAGCAATGGCTTGTGTTTTATCGACTTGACGGTATGACTCTCACAGGAGAAGGAACCATTGAAGGAAATGGAGAGAAGTGGTGGGATCTACCCTGCAAACCTCACCGTGTAAGCTTTCTTTGATTAAATTTCTGCGTTTCATTAATTCTGTGCTGGAACCACATTAACGTTTTCTGTCACAACATGATGTGATTTCAGGGTCCTAATGGATCGACATCAAAAGGACCATGTGTTAGCCCGGCAGTAAGTGAAAATAATCCACAAGTAATTTAGGTAAAAACTGATCAATTACTGCATAATTTTGCCATATATTAACAGATAAAAATTTGTTGATGGTTTCAGTTAATTCGGTTCTTCATGAGCTCCAATTTGGCAGTCAGTGGCTTGAAAATCCAGAACAGTCCTCAATTCCATATGAAGTTTGATGGCTGTGAAGGTGTTTTGATAAAAAAACTGTCCATATCTTCCCCCAAACTCAGCCCCAATACTGATGGGATCCACATAGAGAACACCAAGGCTGTTGGCATATACGATTCTTCCATTAGCAATGGTATGGCAAATTAAAAAGAATAAAATAAAACATTCTACTTAATATAATCTCTCTATTTCGGATTATTTATCTGCTATCAAGCCATCTCTAATATAATGGAGACTTGAACAGGTGATGATTGCATATCAATCGGAACAGGATGCTCAAATGTGGATATTGATGGTCTCACTTGTGGTCCCAGTCACGGGATTAGGTACAATTTCTCTCTGTTTCAACTAAATTGACGTCATGGTTGTTTTAACTACCAGTGCAGTGTGTGAAGCAACTTTTTTGGGTAGTACAGTTAAAGGCTATGTCTGGCCCTACAACATGATGGCCATATGTCAGTTTTTGTGTTTGATAGGTGCCATTTTGTCGATCCAGAACAATATTTATCACACAAAAGTAATTAAAAGGTTGCTTTTTTTCTAAAAAAAAGAGCACCCAAGAAATTGTTTTCCACCCACATCGTTGGTGTGCTCATCCGTTCATCTTTTTCGCTGCCTTTTTATAAGGAAAAAAACTTGATGTTTCATCTATTAAGGTTTCATGGCCTGTTGATTGAGTGTGTTTATTATCGTTCTTTTTTCCACATCAAATGCAAAATTGAAGTTACAATCGCATATGATTTTTCAAAATTTTGTTGAATTCACTTGCATCAAGTGTCTAAAACTGTGGCTTCTTTCTCTGTTCTCCGTAGCATTGGAAGCCTAGGAGTACACAATTCCCAGGCATGCGTAAGTAACATAACCGTCCGAAATACAATAATAAAAGAATCAGACGATGGGCTAAGGATCAAGACATGGCAGGGCGGCACGGGTTGTGTATCAGACATAAACTTTGAAAACATCCAAATGGAGAATGTTAGGAACTGCATTATCATAGACCAATACTACTGCCTATCACAGGCTTGTCTCAACAAGACCTCAGCTGTCTATGTCACAGGCGTGACATACAGGAACATTAAGGGCACGTACGATGTTAGAACCCCACCAATACACTTCGCCTGTAGTGACGCAGTAGCCTGCACCAATATACTGCTATCAGAGGTCGAGCTTCTCCCTGAAGAAGGTGAGTTGGTGGATGATCCATTTTGTTGGAATGCTTATGGAACTCAAGAAACAGCGACTATTCCTCCTATAAATTGCTTACGAGAAGGAGAGCCTAAGGGTATACGAGAAATCTCCTCTTATGGTTGCTAAGATAGTAAATTGCTTAAGAGAAGTAGCAGTTTTAGTTATTACAGATACACTATTGTATAATATAGAATGTGTGGTGTGCTACAGAGCCCATGATCCATTATTATCTTGTCTTTGGGTCTTGATTGTTGCTGAGGCTCCATCCCTCTTAAGGGCATTTTGCCCTTATTGTGTGATGATGTAGTGCTGTCAATAGATGGGAATGGATTTTCCATTTTTACATGTAAGGATTTTTCTAGTGTTTTTAGATGTTATTTATATATGCCTTTAATTTATAATATATTTGTTGTAGAATATGGTGTTTAAAAATATAGTTATGGTTATTTTTTAAATTATTTTATTGTTGTAGAATATGGTGTTTAAAACTATAGTTATGGTTTTTTTTTAAAGTATTTTTTATTTAAAATATATTAAAATATTTTTTTTATTTTTTAAAAATCAATCTAAAAATTATCACTGACTACCTTCACCGTTACTTTCTCCCTCTCATTTTGACACGTGTCTTACTTTTTCAAAGATAAACTTGCGACAGGCAATAAGAGGTTTGTGACAGGGTAGTAATTTTAATAAGACATTCTTTTAAAACAGACACACAGGATGACGTAAGACAGAGCTCCTCTTTTGTGTCTTGATTCTCTGTTCCATATTTTCGTTCATTTGTTTTCCAGAGAAAGTGTAACGTTCTTTGATATTTGTTGGCCATTGACATGATCACCCACTCTTGAAATTCGTTATTCTTGTTGAATAAAGTAAAAACAAAAAATAAATTGTTTTATAATAAAATAAAGAAGCGTTTCATTTGAAAAATACATACTGTACTGGATTTAATATCAATTTTAAAATTTACCTTTTTGTTTGGAACCCACAAGAGTATATAAACTACTAACCGTCGTAAAAAAATAAATTTACTTACATCTACATTGCAAAAATAATTGTTAAGACATGCGTGTAGAAAAAAATTATCTCTCTTTTGTTTTAAATTAATTTGTTATATTTTTAAATTATTTTAATATAATAATATTAAAAATAAATTTAAAAAATAAAAAATATTATTTTAATAAATTAAAATAAATACTTTAAAAAACATCATCCAATACTAACAATATAAACTACAATGTTGCAAGATGCATGCATTGCAAGTTAATAAGTTTTAGCTTTTAAAAATGGAACACCTATCAAGAGAGGAGGGAGAAGGTAACCGACGAGGTAGTTAGCTTTCCTCGTCCTTGTCACGACTAGGGATGACATCGGACATTTTACTTGGATCCCTCTCCCTCTCTCTCCCTCTCTTTCTATATATATGTGTGTGTGGGGTAAAAAAATCAAATAGTTATTAATTATTAATTGGTTTTGATTATTTTATTATCTACTATTATTTATTAATTAATAAAAATATAATAGTTAATATATATATTTGAAGTGTGTGTATATGTATATATTAAATAATAAATAATAAATAATAAATAATAATATATATTAAATACTAAATACTAAATAATATTTTATATATAAATGTTTTATATTAATATTAGTATATATACAGTATTAAAAAAATCTAGATATTCGATTATATATATTTATATAATATAAATATATGTTTCGGGCTAGGTTCAAGTGAATTTTAATAATATTTATATCCTATTTATTATCTATTAAATCTAAAAAAATTATATATATTTAGTAGGTATGGATTAAATTATCCTTTTTAATCACAGCCACCGCAGGGTGGGTGGGTTGAGAGCTCAGGGCACCGGATAAAGGTAGGTCCAAGCGGTTTGTCGTATTTGCATTTCAATGATTAGACTCGTGAGAACAAAATTTCTATTCTTATTCTCATAATTGGAAGTGAAATAAAAATAAAAATCCAGCCGGCTGGGCCATCTCCAAGTAGATGCCCATACTCTCTCTTCTCTCGCTTTCACTGATTATAACACATAAAATAATAATAGACAAGTTCCACCAAAAATATTCTCACAGCATCTCTCTTCATTGGCCAGACAGTAAAAAATAATCACCTTTTGTTTTGTAAGTAGTAAAAAATAATCACACAGCACGCTTTACCGTAAAGTAAAGTCTATTGGTTAATCAACATGGCCTCTTCAGTACTCTCCTCTTCAATCCAACCAGTACTTTTTCTCAGGCGAGGCTCGGCCCTTTGATGTCTGGCTAAAGATAATACTTGTTGGGGTGGTAATAATGGTTGTTTTTAAAAATATTTTATTTAAAAATATATTAATTGGTAATAATGGTTGTTTTTTAAAATATTTTATTTAAAAATATATTAATATGTTTATTTTTTTGTTTTTTAAAATTAATTCTTGAAATCATTATATTAAAATATAATTTTTTATCAAATAATAATATTTAATTCATATTTTCGAACACTAACCACTATGAATAATCATGTTTATAGATGCCACATCAAAACACAATAAGATCGCTCAATCCCCTTCTCTACCTCTTTAATCTAATTATTTTTTTAGTTATTGTATACTAATTTAAGTATAAAAAAATCCATTGAAACATATAAAAACTTACTCTTATAGATGAGACAAGGTAATTCATCATAATCACTTCCCAACTCACTCATTCTGTATGCTCAAAATTCTTTCAAAGTTTCGGTGACTTCATCACTATCGTTTTATTATTTGTTACCAAATTTGAATGTCAGTGTAAAAGATAGGATGTTAATATACCATGAATATATAAATTATTATTTTCAATAACTTGTTATAAGAATTACAGTGGCAAAACTGCTCGTTAAATGGAGTGGCAAATAGAAATTTACATGAATAGATATCAAAGAATATGTTTTAGCAGTTTAGTTAACTCCCGATCTCGGTAGCCGCCGAAAGGGACGCAGAGAAAGAAACAGGAACGGAGGGAGACGGAGAGAAAGAAGGATAGGAATTCAATTATTTTACGTAATTGGACCCATGGCAAGGTTCATAATATTCTAAGCCCACCAATAAATGGGCCAAGGAGGTCTATCTTTTCCACTCTGACAATCGACTTATTTAATAATAATTTAACGTACAGTCAAGCAAATTTGCCGTTCAGTTTCGCCTCTGCAACAACGAACGAGATTTTATACAATCACCCACTTGGCTCCCGCTCCCGCTCCCTCCGAAGTTGGAAGAGACGATGCCCTCTTTGCAAACTGCGTTGCCTCCTGAACTAGCCAACAACGTAATTAGGGTTAAGTATCATTTTCTTTTTGCTTCATTTAAATCTATGTTAACAGTAATTATTCAGATCCCTAATTTTCATTGTTTTAATCGCAGCTTTACCGTGAATGTCTTCGAAGAGCTAAATATATTGGTCATCAGGTAATATTTTATTTAACTAAACTCATTGCATCTTATTAAAAATTCGCAATTTAATCAGATCAACTCCATTCCTTCCTATCTACTCAACGTCAAATATGTTACCAAAATAATTCGAATGTCCGTGTCGTGGTATGTAAAGGAGTGGTTTGTTGCTCAGTTATCCAAGAATGGTGGTACATATGATGTGGAATCGGGGTAATGATTCTGGGAGTCTAACTCTTACTTTGGTGTCCTGTATGGTTGGTTGTGTGAGATGGGCTATGTTGGCACTCATTAGCATCACCTAGAATACCTACTGCCGTTGCTTTGATACTCCCACCTCTTTAGTTGCTGCAAGTGTGACTTGGATGGCATAGGGGTTGCCATAGATCTTGTTTTTGCTTTTTTTGGTTATAATCTGGAGCCTAACTCCAACCTCGTGGTAACTTCTCTGCAGTGGAGTTTTGATGAATCTGATCCTGGTTTCTAAAAAAGAAGAAGAAGAAGAAGAAGAAGCAACATTAGTATTCATCTTGTTTCAATTTAGCCTCTGTTATTAATTTTTAGTCGATATGTGTTGATATTTGTGTTTTAATTATTGTGGCAGCAACATAACACAGAGCTTCTTGTCAATATGGTAAGACAGCAGTTTAAAAGAAACAAACACGAGATGGACCCAGAGAAGATTCAAAAGTTGAAGGACGAGTAAGTTGAAACTGCTCTGTTTTGCACGTTGTTAAATCTTTAGCTCCTTCTTGTGTTTGTTTCATTTCCTGTATTGTTTATTTATATGTCCATGTTTTAGGAACGGTTTTGCTTGATTTGAATATGTATTGAGGATTTAGGAGGAAATTACTTGATTTGGCAACCAAGATGCCAGTTGCTTTGTTCTATATCTAGAGTGCAAAACAGTTCCTTAATTTGTTTGGTAGAATTAACAAGCTGGATTGTAGGATACAGACAGACTAACTTGTAGTTTGTTACTCTTTCTCTCCATTTTTTTTTTTGTGTGGGAACTTTGTTGCGAGTTTGATGTGATTTCTATGATTGCAGTGCAGCAAGGGGACTTATAAATCACATACTCTATGAATCGGAGAGGCTGTCTGGTCATAAAGCGAGCAAGAGTACTTGATGTTTCTTCAGAATTTGAAGTAGAGGTTCGGGTCGAGAGCGCAGTAGGTGAGTTGGATGAAATTTTTGGCTGTCAATTAGATAATAAAAGAGATTTTTCCTTAACCATCATCAATCTTCTGAGTGTTCAAGGATCATATGCTTAATGGAATTTGCATAAATGGAAAGATTTCATACTGGCTACGCATGCCATTTTCTTGATTTCCAATAAACAGTAATGGTTTATACTGAAAGGGTGGAGGGGAAAAGCTGAATTAGGATCGGGACATAATTACAGTATTATCTCACAGTTTGCAAACTAAATCAAGACATTGTTTCTACCGATTATTCTATATGCCTTGGATGTTTGCATGCACAGAGAGTGACTTTAAATTGCATTAATATTCTTCCGGCATTGAGGTTGTGAAACTCAATGCTGCAGTGGCTATTTGGCCCAACAGCGTGATGGCCATATGCCAGTTTTACTTGTATATTCATAGCTTGTGAACTTTCAGGATACATCATACACTATCATACAAATATCCCAAAAAAACAATTAGAAAAGCAATTGAAATCAAACTTCCAGTTTTAAAATAATTGCCAAATATCTGACTCGAATGTATTTTAGAGAATCAATGCGCAAGTACAGAGACAAGCAATTTGTTTGAGGAAGCTGAAGACTACGATTTCGAGAACTTTGGCTTCTTATCAATTCCACGTGATTAGGCTGTCTTCAAAGAATTTATTCTCGGAAGAGATTGGAGTTTTTGGATGAATAATGAATCGTTAGGCGGTTTTGTTTTGAGTCAATTGACTACCAACATTGTTCGAGTTTTTATAGAATAATTTGAGGGAGACGGTTTATGAAAGTGGATTATAATGATGAAGGGGAGGGATGAACTTTCAGGTTTTGCAGATAAGATCCGAAACAACATAGCGACTTCACATTCCTTCCTTTTCTTTTCTTTTTTCAAAATTTTATTTCATTTGAACTTCAGGGTTCATACAGTTCCTCAAAAAAACCAGTTGGTTGATCGCTCCATTGCGATTCTTTGTAAACTAGTTCATGTTCGGTTTATCAATTCTCCAATCAGACTGTCTAGTTCGATCCGTTCTGATAACATTGCGCAAGGATAATTAAAAAAATTGATTTAAAAAAATGAATGATTCTCCACCCACATCGAATGGCCTATAATCAACATACGGCATTTTTAGCAACATTTTATAAACAAAAACTATAATGTTTCATCTACTAAGCTTAGGCATGTTGATCGGATGTGTTTATGTTTTTGTCTCGTACATGTGCAAATGGGAGCTCCAAATGATTTCCGAAATGTTGCTGGATTTACTCATATGGGATTGACACCGAGCACACTCTACTTCAATTGTCTGAAACTCTGCCTTTTCTTTGTTTTCTTCAGCGCCGGAAGCCCAGGAATACACAATTCCCAGGCATGTGCCGAGGATCAAGACATGCATCAGGCATAAACTTCGAAAACAGCCGACCAATACTACTGCCCGTCTATATGAGACCTCAGATGTCCAAGTCACAGGCTAGTGTGACACAGTGGCCTGCACCAATTAATTAACTAACAAAATACTAATAAGCGTAGCGTGGTTAAATCACTTAACAATACTCACAAAACACTTTTTTTTTTCTTTCAATCTTACCTTTTAATAATCTATTTTTTTTAATTACCTCCTTCAATATTATATTATTTAAAAAAAAATAATTATTTTTTTACTTAAATTTTATATCGGTTTTATGGATTTTTTTCTTTCTCAATTTCAACCTTTAACATTATATCTATTAGAATTAAGATTTCATAATTATTTTTTATTTTATTTCTATAAATTTTTCCTAATTTTATGAAGTCGAGAGTTTATTATGTTAACTCAAGTTATTATTTTTACTAATTTTTTAATTAATTTTTTTTATTTCATTTTTTATTGGTTGGGAATTGAGTTTCATGATTTTTTTTCAATTTGCTTTCTATGTGGTTATCTTAATTTCATGACCTGAATCGCAAATTTGGTAAATTAACCCAAATTTACTCAATTTATTTAATTTTAGTTATTTTTTAGTAGTTTTTTTTTAATTTTATCCTCCAACAACTCAATCTTCTTCTTTTTTGTTTTTATTTTTCAATTTCATCATTTAATATTAAATTGTTTGGTAATCGAGGTTCATAATTTTCTTATTTACTTTTATAGAGTTATTTCAGTTTCATGATCTAAGTTGTGAGTTTAACAAGTTAACTCATATTAACTCGAGTTGTTTTATTTTATTTTTTAATTGATTTTTTTATACTTTAATGTTGAGTTGGTTAGAAAATAAGTTTCATAATCTTTTTTATCTGTTTTTTATGAGGTTATTCTGATCTCATGACTTGAGTTGCGGATTTGATAAATTAATCTAGATTAACTTAAATAGTTTTTTTTTTTAATTTTAGTTTTTGTTTAACTTTATCTTTTAACATTGAATTGATTAGAAATTAACCATTCATAATTATTTTGATTTGTTTTTTATAGGATTATCAACATCTTATGGTCCTAGTAGTAGATTAGACAAATTAACTTAGGTTGATTCAATATATCATTATCTTAATATTTTTTAAAAAATATTATTCAATGTGTCATCACATCAATATTTAAAAAATATATTATTCAATATACATTATATTTTACGTTTATAATTAATTTCTTTTATTAAAAAATACATCATCAATGTTTGGACATGATTTTTTGTTAAAAAAATTTAATTCCATCCTCAGCATAGAACATGCACAATAATATAGTCTAATACTATCATAGGTGGAGCTTCTCCCTGGAAAAGGTGAATAGGTAGATTATCCATCTTGCTGGAATGCTTATGGAACTCGAGAAACAGTGAATATTCCTCGTATAAGTTGCTCAAGAGAAGAAGAGCCTGAGAGTCTAGTAGACATCTCCTCTAATGGCGGTTAAGATGGTAATTACAATCATAGTGGTAGTTTTGGTTATACGATATAATGTTGTATTATATAGGATGCTGTATACTGCAGATCGCAAGGTCCATTCTTATCTTGTTTGGGGTCTTGATTATTGCTGAGACTCCATCCCTGATAGTTTTTTTTTTTTTGTAGGTTATTAATTGTTTAACACATACTTCGTCGGTGTATTATTTAAAAAGATTATTTCCAATAGATTGTATAAATTTATTTATAAATGAATACATTTAAATGTTCATTAAATATTAACATGTTTTATTTTCAATAGTTATAATTAAATTAATTAGGGACATAAATTAAAAATTGACCATATAGGATAAGTTTTAATTTAAGTTAGCAGTTATTTTCAATCATATTGAGATTAGTATTTTATTTAAAAAATATGTGACATTAATATAAATTAACAATACATACAAAGGAAAAAAAAATACATATTATTTTCTTAACAAGTCTTGATTTTTTTTTTTAATATTGTCAGTATATGTCTAGAAGAGTAAAAAACAACCTATAGAAATTAACCAAAGATTCAATTTAATAATTTGATGAATTTTGATGTAATTTAAATATTTTTGGATTTTAAAACTTCATGAATCTTATTGGCTTGTTTTTAATCCTTTTCAGAGTTTTAATAGTCAAGATAAAGTACCAATCTATATGGTTTAAAAGTGATTTGAATGGTTTTTTTTTCTTTCTATTTTGTGTGTTATATAGAGTTTCATGAAGTGTGTGTGTGTAAATTATGAAAAAAGGGGATTAAACTACATTTTTAGCATTCATTCTAGAAAATATACTTTTACAAATTAATATTTTTAAATAATTTTATCAGTATTTTTCTAAACTGGAGGTGGGGTTGAATTTACTTACTAGTATTAATTAAAAATTATAATATTATGGTTGTATTGAGGGTATAATAATTAACCAAAAGTTTTTTTAAAAAAAAATAATGCAGTAAAAATAACTATTCACATCAGAGAAAAAGCATTGTACCTTGAGAGTCCAGCCATCAGGATCCAGGAGGAGCGGGACGAGCAAGAACGAAGACACGATCAATGACAATAACCATGGGTTCTTTTCCTAAACTTTTCCAGGGAGCCGGAAAGTCAAGGAAGATAAAAAGGAGTAAGGGATGAAAGGCAAAGAATTATCATTTTGGAAGGGATAAGATATAAGATACTAGAAACATTGTTTTCGGTATTAAATGAAACTTCCAACGTATAGTAAATAAACTTTATGAACCTGTGGATTCCAGTCAAATTCAAGTGTATGGAGCACCCTCGTCATTCTAATACAACACGAACTAGTTGTGTCGGGCTATATGGATCCTTTCCGATCAGGACAACGACAAAAGCATATAAAAGGCGTCAATTAAACTCAGTAGGCCTTTCTTTTATGGGTTGGTAGCCGTGGCCTTTTCCATTTGAGTGACTGAAATGCATGCTCCTTTGTGGGCCTCGACGAATGAATGGTGCATCTAACCTCTCGAATTCACTCGTCAAATTCATTAACTCTCTCTCTCTCTGATCCACTCCTTCCCTAAAGTTGTCTCCACTTGTAGAGTTTCTTCTCCCAAGTTGGAATTTCAGAAGTTCTAATCACTGGATGATCCATATGAGTTTGATACTAGGAACTTTAAAATGTTCAATGTACACACGCAAGCATAAACACAAGCAGAAGCCATCAACAATCATGTTACTGCTGCTTCAACTAAACACATGTTTCCTCCAAGAATTTATGGCTTAAGAAGCTATTATGAATAAAACACTTCTTCAGGCATAATTTCTTCCAATGTCGATGCAATGCTGCGCAAAAGGTTAGATAGATAAAGCTTTCGGAAAGAGCAGATAAGGATCATGAAGCTAAGATGTACAGGAAAAGAATTCTCTTAATCACCAAAGCCACCAGGAAGCAAATGGATCTCTGGACAGAACAGGTTACTTCTCAAATGACTGGCCAAGGAAAAGGATAATTTAAATCAATCCACATTTGCATTGCTTCACCACCGAGCAACATAATTGTATCATTACCTTCTACGATTATCAACTAGTTTTTTTATCACGCATAATGATAGGGAAAACTTGAGATTTTTGTCTCCCAGAAACACTATCTTCACGGTTTGCAGAACAGGGATACGGCGACAAAGACTACCTCTTTCTGTCGATTGCACTCCTTACACGTTGCAAAACACGAACAAACTCATTGAACAACGTGAAGTCAAAAAAATGTTGACTTTCTAAACCTGAACCCACTCTGGGAATTTTTGATGGCTGAGTAAAAGAGTTTTGACAAATTACGAAGTCAAAACAGCCAAACTTCTCACCCAGTCTCTCAACTGTACTGCTTGTTAGCTTCCGAATGTCTTCTATTT